TTTTATATTCTTGCAACTTGCAAGGATGAAAGCCTTCGGCTTAATTTCAGGCGTTGGCAAATCTTTATATTAAACAAGTAAGGAAGAGCTAAGTCCGGGTGTAACCGTATATTTCATATTCTTACAACTTGCAAGACTCAAAGACGGGGAAATACTTTCAGGTGTTGGTAAAACTTTTTTTTAATAGATGTCATGTTCAACATTCATTACTCGACGAATTTGTGAATGGTTTACAAGCAAATTTGTATTTTATCAACTTATACTATAGGTCATAGGCTCACTAAGTTTTATAACTATATTTTACTTCTTGTCAGCAAAAAATATTTTAAAATTATTCTCAAATGAGGTATATCTGACATAAACTTAACCCAAGAGGCTGAAAATGACTGACTAAATTTATTAAAATTTAGTTGATGTGAAAAACATCAACCAGAAGATTGCAATTGATGATATTAAGGATAGTCTAGATCAACTCCATTCATGTTCAGCGCTAAACCATTAATATAATAAAGTTTGTTAGAATAACGGAAATTATTTTATGTAGAATAATATTATTTCACATATTTTTGGCATTAAACTAAAGTATAATTATATCCAATATTATACGTTCAGTTAATTTTGCTAAGATATCTTACATGTAGACCAATATATAATATGCCGTATACGGCCAACCGGAAGTTTAAAAATCTTTTATTAGGTATATGGGAGATAGGTGTAGTATTGACCCGATTTTATCCATTTTTGGCATTACGACATACAAGGTACAATTCAAAAGTTCCAGGACTTTTTAAATAACGCGGCTTCTAGTGGCGCCATCTGTCTGAAATTGTTAGCCCTTAATTGTGTATTCTTCAGTGTTGTCGTATAAAATTTATATAACAGCTGAGATATCGCGCTACATGTGACATTACATTTGTAGTGTCGGTCGGAAAATGTGTATCGAACAAAGAGCCAACATTAAGTTTTGTTTTAAACTTGGTAAAACTTTTACCAAAACTCATCAAATGATGAAACAAGTTTATGGCGATGATTGTCTATCCCGTAGCCGTATTCACGAGTGGTATAAATGTTTTCAAGAGGGACGGGAGGACTTGGAAGACGACGAACGTTCGGGCCGGCCAAAAGATGAACGAAAAAAACACGGAAATTGTGCGTGAATTCGTTAAAAAAAATAGCCGAAATCATCGCTTAAATATATGGAATCGGAATTATCAATATCCGCAGCGCCGACTTATCATATTTTGACAGAAAATTTGGGCCTCAGAAAGGTTTGTGCTCGATTTGTCCCGCACACTTTTAAACAACTCGAAAAATACCTCAGAATTCAACATTCAAGAGACATTATTAAAGAGGCCAAAAAGGACCCAAACTTTTTGTTCGCCTGATATGGCACCCTGCAATTTTTATTTGTTCGGAAAACTACATTGAGCCATGAAAGGAAACCGCTATGCTGACGTTGATGCCATCCAAAAGGCGACGACCGCCATCCTTAACGCTATACCGACAAATGACCAAAAAAAGGCATTCGATAACCTTCTTGAACGTGCAAAACGTTGTATTCAGGCGGAAGAAGACTATTTTGAAGGCGAGCAATAAAACTTTCAAAAAAAAAATAAAAAATTATATTCGTTTTTTAATAAAAGTCCTGAAACTTTTGAATTGCACCTTGTACATCGAATTATAAACAGAAACCGATGCTCTCTGAGTTTCATTAGAGATAGATCACGATTATCATGGGGCGATAAGGTCGCCATTGACGGTTATTTTCACCGGCATAATTTTTGAAGAAATATGGACCGACGATTCCACCGGCTCCCAATCACTCCTAACCGTCGTTTTTTTCGGTTGAAATGGCAGCTCTTGAATCTCTTCAGGTTGCTCTTTGTCCCAATTTGGCTTGTGTACATACCCATTGAGCCTAAAAAGGGCCTGATCGCGGAACAAAATTTGCCTCGAAAACGTCGGATCTTTTAGGAACGAAGCGATATCGCTTGGGAAGTTCGGTGACATGGGAATGTCAAAGTAATCCTATGTACTAAATCTGGTTGAAATTATCGATTGATATGTGATTTCACCCAATTATGCTAAAGAATTAATTCATTATTCGACGAAATCGTAGATGGATTGCAATAAAATTTAGTATTTTATTAATTTGTATTGAATATCATAAACTCAGTTAGTTTTATTGCTATATATTACTTCGCGTCAGCGTTCAGTATTATTTTATATATATTATATATATATATATAGTATATATTTTACGTAAACTAAGCCGTAGAGGATAAATTCATAATACTAAGTAAATGTGTAAAACGTCAACCAAAGGATCGGTATGAGATTTAAACGAAGGTAAACATCAGTTCCATTCAAATTTAGCGGTAAACTCTATAATTTTAAAAATATTTGTCCCCTTAATTCCATCAAAATGTCCTACATGTTAACCAAACAAAACGGGTTAAAGTCAGCTGGATAATAGGAAATAACTATATAGGGTATATTCCGGGCAGAAAAAGATCTGGGCTGATAGCACTAACTTTTGACGTTGCGTAGGTATACTTGAGAACATATAATATTTTAAAGGAATTTTATATACATGTAGAACGCATACACTGACCGACATATTCGGCAAATGGTTTGTTAGAATAACGAAAATCGTTTTATGTAGTATATTGACGACGGCGTAATTCGTACATCAATTTCACATATTTTCGGCATTAAACTATGGTATATCCAATATTATACGCTCAGTAAATTTTGCTAAGATATCTTACATATTGACCGATATATACGGTATAAAGTCAACTGGAATTTATAAAATTTTTATATTAGGTATATAGGGGTTAAGGAAAGTATTGATTGGATTCTACCCATATTTGACATACGCGTATATTATATAAGGTTTTCGAATTTGATTAATATATCTCACAGATTTGCCGATGTTTTCGATAAAAACAGGCGATAAGAACTGGGATTATCGTATTCGGTATGTGGGGGCGTGAATGTTTTTAGTATAATTTTGACAATTTTTAGACGGAGAACCGCACACCTTAAATCTACTTTTTGTGCAAAGTTGTATCACGATATATTCATATGACTTTGGTTTGTATATTGGAAAGTGAAAAAATATGGGAAGTAGGCGTGGTTGTAGTCCCATTTTCGCACTGTCGGATCGGATACCAAAATATTTGTTTTGAGTAAGTTGCATTGATTTAGCTTAAGTGGTTTGAAAGATATGTTCATTAAACTTATTAGGGGACGGGGCCACGCCCGCTTATTAAAGATTTGTGGCCAGTTTCATCCAGATAATAGATAAAAAAATTAATACTTTATATGTACACCTTTGCCCTCTTTCATAGTTTATTAATAGAATGTACCGAAGTTTATGTAAGTTCAGCAGGTACAATATATTTGCCCATATTTTCTGAAGAGCAGCCATAACTTCATTTTTGCTTTCACCGTGATTAAGGTATGTACTCTGGGGAGCCCTTTTTGGTTGTAGAATTCCTTAACCGCTAAGACAGAATGGGTCCGGTCGTTATCCTAAATAAAGCAGTAGCAACCGTTTAAATTGAGTTTAGCTGCTGACGGAAGGAGACAAATTGATTTTTAATATTGCCATGTAGTCCATTCTTTACATAATTCCTTCGATGAAAACAAGGTAACCGACGCCATTTGCTCCCACTCAACTCTTTTGCTTCCATTGCACCACACACCACACCATGCAGCCTCCTCCATGCAGACAGTCTTATTTAATTTTTTATCTCTTAGCGCTTAGTCTTCCTTACGCCAAACATATCGACCACCGTCGCATCCAAATAAATTAACTTTGGACTCATCGGTAAAAATCACAGAATCCCAAAATTCGTTGCCACTTTGGATATTCTCTTTGAAATATATGTAATAAACGTTTCGAAATATTTCTCCTCGATACGCGTGGCTTGTTTCGTGGTGTTTACACTTTAAAATTAGTTAAAACCAAGAAATTCTAAACAGTTTGAAGGAAGATTTTTGCAATGCCAGCTTCCTTCACCCCCTTGACGTTAGAGACAGCAGATATTTTGGGCTCTTCCTTGACACTTTCTTTTCAATCTGGGCGTTCCACTACCTGCAAGTATTCCAACTCCACTAGTTTTTTTTAAATTTAGCAATAATGTAATGAACAATACTATGTGTTTTTTAAATATAGCCTTTTTCGCAAGTAATTTCGTTCTCTTATCATTATTTAACTATCCGAGCTTGTAAACCTTGAGATGTTTGTTTATTCACAATTTTTTCTTCAAAACCTACAACCTTACAAAAGAAATTTTCTTCCTAAAAAATACATTTTGAGCATACTCAAATAACAACGGTACCTACTTGATAACTGCATCTTAATTATTGCCAACGTAAGTGTACAAGTTTTTTTTGGTTCGAGCACTCGGGGTGAGAAAATTTAATTTTTTACAATCGTTAACATTAAAATTTATTTATTGTTAAATATATTATAAAAATGCGTAACATTCTCATATTGTTACTCTTGGTTGCAGTTTAAAAGCTGAAAATATAATAAGAGGAAAGTCTTTAAGGTCAAAGCATCTCTCTGTACATGTACATGTTCTCTTTTGGTTCACTATATGTACATTAAACTATTTAGCATGGGGGCACGCCCACTTTAAAAAAAATTTCGGCCAATAGGTGTCCCTTGTTACCGCGATCTCGTCTACCAACTTACTGTTGGGTATCTTAATTTAGTGCCAAGTTACAGCAGTTTATAGGCTTTCTTTTAATGGCATTTGTGGGTGTGGCAGTGGTCTGATTACGCCCATCTACAATACCGACCTCTCTTTGATGCAAAGGAGCATATGTAGCAATCGCAATTTATTTTTAAATTATCGCTTGGACAGAAAAAAGTTACAAACATACATACATACGTTACAAATATACAAACGTTCCTACAAACATAAAGGTGAAGCTAATAAAAGTGTAAGTAAAAACAAATCAAATGATATGTGTATACGTACTGAATGGTAGGGTCCACAAAATGGTTTCTTCTGCTGGAGACCATCCGGCAACATTGAATAAAGCAATTCCGCATCTAAAATATTAACAATAAAAATGATAATGTTGTTCTGTCTGTTTTCATAAAAAATAATAATTAGACCTTCGCCCATTCGGCGCTAAGTGTCACATAAGTATGTGTTCGGGTTTCGGGATTAACCACTTTAACTTACATAAGTATGTATGTTCGTTCCACTTATTAAATGAGTAATTACACCGTATTATAATAACGTGGATCGAAATACTTATACAATAAGTTATTTCTTTTATTTAAAAATGGATTTTTAAACGATTATTGGTTTTATTTCATTGATTTGATACTGAATGTGAGAGAACAATATAAAAGGCTAAAAAAAACTGTCGTTTTAATTGCCGTTCCGCAGACCACGTGTTACGACTTCGGCAAACATTGTATAAATCTACAAGTAACCAATCATAAGAATTTCACTAATACACACGCAAACATGTCCGATTTGGTATGGGTTGTCCCAAAAATTCAACTACTAAAGTCCCACTTGTACACACCTGGTACGGGTTGCCTACTTACGTTCTACTACTGAAACGTCCAAATGCCTCAAATCTGCCGCAGTGTTATGTTTAAATATTTATAACTTTAAGAATGTTTTTATTACGTATTCAAATATTTTTCGAAATTCATAAAAATTAAATTTATCGCTGTGAGTGATCTAGAATATTTTGTAAATATTATTTACTAATTAGTACATTGTTTGGATTATTATTATTGTACCTACTTCATGAATTGTATCCGATCTTTTATATATATATTTGCTTTTGTTGACATTAGTACAAGAAGATTGTTTCGCCATGTATTTGTCAATGAACAAAATTGAATTGTACCTAGTTTTATATATTCATTTTCGATTTGGTTTAAGGTGGATATTTCGACTATATTGTTAATGTAATTACTATTCATGAAGGGTGCCTGATTATATAATATATATATACATTTTTTATATTCTCGCAACTTGTTGCTACAGAGTATAATAGTTTTGTTTACCTAACGGTTGTTTATATCACCTAAAACTAATCGAGTTAGATATAGGGTTATATATATATATAAATGACCAGGATGAAGAGACGAGTTGAAATTCGGGTGACCGTCAGTCCGTCCGTCCGTCAGTCTGTGCAAGCTGTAACTTGAATATAAATTTAGATATCTTTATGAAACTTGGTACACATGTTGGTATTGCAGATGCGCGTAATCGGACCACTGCCATGCTCACAAAACGACATTAATCAAAAACAAATAAATTGCCATAACTAAGCTCCTCAACAAGATACAAGACTCTTATTTAGTATACAGCATCACATTAGGGAATAGCATCTGCAGTTTAATTTTTTTTTAATAAGTTTAATGTGCATGTTCCTTATACCACTGAAGCTATAATAACAAAATTCACTCGGAACAAATTTTCGAAAACCCCGCCCACTCTCCATATAACGGTACTTTTAAAAACGACTAAAAGCGCGATAAATCAAGCACTAAACAAGCCAGAGACATTAAATTTTATCTCTGGGATGGTATAAGATGATTTTATAGGAACCACGTTCAAAATTATATAGTGGGCGTGGCACCGTCCATTTTTAGGTGAAAACCCATATCTTGGGATCTGCTTAACCGATTTCAACCAAATTCAGTCCATAATATTCTTCTCATATTTCTTGTTATATTACGAAAGTAATATGTATGCAAATCAAGCAACAATGATTATATCGGCGTAAAACTTTGCCTGAATAATATATTTAAAGTATACCACCTTGTGACCAAAAATTATCTTAATTGAACCGAAACTGTTCAAGCCCCTAGATACTGCATATATGGAACCCAGTGCCTATAGTTGACTTTTTACCGAAATTATCGGTCAACATAGAACAAGGCGGTAAGATCCACAAAGAAATCTTAAACGAGTATAACATTTGACTTTGCGAGAGTATAAAATGTTCGGTTACATCCGAACTTAGCCCTTACTTACTTGTTTCTAGTTATATTTGTTATGAAAAGTAGATTGATTTAGAGCTGTATATACAATTATACTTGTATTATATGGATGAATATAGGCCTCCTGAGGAACCGAACACTCAAAAAAGATCGGTAACGCGCCTAGATTGCATCCTGAATCTCAAGGAAAATCAATAAATATATAATAAGCTTTTGTTTCGAAATTATTCTTGAAAGTTTTCATTACAAATACCTGTTCACAAAAAAGTTATTAAACTACATTCCTTTTATTTACACCTGGGTGTCAAAAAAGGCAGATTTCGATCAGGTGATCTCAGCTGTGTTACACACATAGGAAAACAGTTGATACAGTGTTGGCGACCGTCTTCAATTGCGGTTTTTGCTTGCCGCTCGTTGATCTTTTCTCTTCTACAAACTATTCTTGCCTTGACACTTTCGCTCCCATAATCGGCCATCCTGTTATACACTCAACCAAAGTTTTTGGTTTCAGTTTAAAACCACTACCAAACTGCTTGCGTTTGATTGCTACCAAGTCAACTTTGTACTGCTGGGCTTGTTTGCCTTTAAGGATGTATGTCCTTTTGCTTTCGTGCTGATATTTAAATATTTGTATATATATATGTATTAATATATGTATATTAATAGCAATGCCAATGCACTCAGAATTGCACATCAATATACACCGAAACGGTGTATTTGAAACTTTGAAACTTAGCACCTATTTGCATAACTTCAATCCTTTACTATTTCCATCCGGGCAGACTAGCACGCATCATATTTAACTGCTATTGTCAATTATACATTCCAACGTTTAAGTGTAAGTTAACACGTAGTTAATAGCAGCATCACGCAACCGGTGGATACCAAAAAATTGCTGAACAAGCGCCGTCAAGTCGGCTCATGACAACAACATCTACCATGGCATCACAGAGACGAAACATTAGGATCAGTGATTGGATATCCGGCGAATAATCCACTCCAACGACGTTACTGAGAATGCATATGCAATCTTAATTATGATAACAATAACAACTAACAACTTTGGAGGAGTTCGTATTTAGCAACAGCTAGTGTTCATGGAAGTCAAGTATTCATGCGTAGGCAATTCAAAAATCAAATCAGTTAAAATAACTCAAACGGGCCAAACGGCTGTACTAATTTGTAGAAAAATACAAATGTATATGTTCCGTGTTTGATTAATTCATGAGTGTCAGTATGTTTTTGTCATCGGTGCGAAAATGAGCTTCGAACAAAGAGCCAACATTAAATTTTGTTTTAAAATTACTAAAACTTTTACCGAAACCTTTCAATTGATGAAACAAGTTTATGGCGATGATTGCCTATCCCGTAGCAGAGTGCACGAGTGGTTTTCAAAGTGGTCGTGGGGACATAAATGAGAAATGAGCCGAAACCCAAAAAAACGCGCCTGGATAGGTCAAAAGTGAAGATAATGCCAATTTGTTTTTATGATTCCAAGGGTATTGTCCACAAAGAATTTGTTCCACCCAGCCAAAACGTTAATGCTGTATTCTACCTTGGAGTTTTTTAGCGTTTCGACGTGTTCGGCCTGAATATCGCGAAGATGGAAGTTGGCGTTTGTTGCACAATAATGCGCCGTCTTATCGATCGACGCTTGTGGTTGATTATTTTACCAAAAATCACATTTTAATAACCAACCCCTTCCCGTATTCACCAGATATGGCACCGTGCGACTTCTACCTTTTCGGAAAAATTCATTTGCCGATGAAAGGAAAGCGTTATGCAGACGTGGAGGCCATTCAAAAGGCTTGCACCGGCATACTGGCGGCCATACCGGGCAACGAGTTAAAACACTCGTTCGTCATGCTTTTGGACCGTGCAAAAAGCTATATTAAAGCAGAAGGAGACTATTTTGAATAAATTTAATTGATTTTGCCGATAAAACCATTTGTTCTGTATTTTTTTTTAAAGTCCTGTTTACTTTGGAACGCACCTTGTATGTATGTATTTGTACTCAATAAACATAAAAGAGTGCAAGATAGTAAAATTAAGGAATCATTACGGAACTAAAATAACAACTTACTCAAGATTAGACCGTTGCAATGGACGCACAGAGCGTTGAGATACTTATCAATACCGCAATTCATACTGGTTACTGGTTCGAAGAGTAACCTGTTTAAACTCAATGAAAAATCTTTAAATTCTTACCACTGGTAGGGGAAAAATAAATACCTTTCATTGAACACTAAACAATTAATCCATTCCGATTTTATTTTAGATTTTCTTGCCCTTATATACATTTTTTAAATCTATCTTAACTACCTAAAAGTGGTTCTATACCGATCACCATTGACTTTAAGGTTAAGGCCATCATCGCTTTTGAAGAAGTACGGACCAATGATTCCACCAGCCCATAAAGCGCACCAAACAGTTAGTTTTTCTAGATGTAACGGTGTTTCGACAAACATTTGAGAATTAGCTTCACTCCAAATGCAGCAGTTTTGTTTGTTGACGTAGCCATTCAACCAGAAGTGCGCTTCATCGCATCATACGATAAAAAGACGTAGTGCGCGATACGTATTCCGCACAGAACCCTTATTTTCGAAATAAAATTGCACTAGTTGCAAGCGTTGTTGAGGCGTGAGCCTATTCATGATGAATTGTAAAACCAAACTGAGAATAAATCACTTGACAGCTGTTAAATCGGTCGCCATCTTGAACAGTAATGTCAACTTAAAGTTCTATACCTCAAAAAAAAAAAAACACCTATTACAACTCAATGCATGTGCGTGTGAGTATTCGTATATATATTAGGTGCGATATGAATTAGTTTCAAGTGCACTCATTTAAAAGCAATTGCCTAAATATATTTTTAGAATCAATATACTATGATAACATATGGATACATCTATTTATATATATATATGAATATCTGCATGCTATATGATATGAGTTTCTTTTCAAATTTACAAATTTATGTCTAACAAGTAAGGAAGGGCTAAGTTCGGATGTAACCGAACATTTTATACTTTCGCAAAGTCAAATGGTATACTCGTTTGAGATTTCTTTGTGGATTGACTGATATTTTCGGTAGAAGGTCAACTATAGGCACTGGGGTCCACATATTTAGTACTTAGGGGCTTGAACAGTTTTGGTTCGATTTAGACAATTTTTGGTAACAATGTAGCATACTTTAAACGTATTATTCACGCAAAGTTTTACCCCGATATAATCATTGTTGCTTGATATGCATAGTGGAAAGTGAAAGAATCAGATGGAATTGAAAATGGTGTTACATGGGAAGTAAGCGTGGTTGTAATCCGATTTCGCCCCTTTTCGCACTATGACATAGAAACATGAAAGAACGTTACGCACCGAATTTGGTTGAAATCGGTTAAGCAGATCTCAAGATATGGGTTTTCACCTAAAAGTGGGCTGTGCCACGCCCACT